AGATGGGTGGGGGATAAATGAATGAATGAATGAATGAATGAATGAATGAATGAATGAATGAATGAATTAGACTTTGTGAGAGCACTGCATTTCAATCAGAGGATGAAGCATCCCACATTTTAGAAGGAAAATATCTTGGTTCCTAAGATCACTCTAATGGGTCTACTTCTTCACATAGACAAGATACCTTGATTTCCACAACTAACTCTTCCCCCTACTCAACAATCACACCGTCTAGAACTGCGAGATTCAGAAATTCTAACACTTTCCAAAGCTTTCTCTTTTGGCTATTGGCTCAGATGGTCTTTGGTCCTATCCAATGGATTCCACAAGAAAGATGTGTTAGCAGAAATGGTAGCAACATTTCCAATTCATTCCAAGAGAGGAAAACACGCCTCCCCCCAGCTGAACCTGAACAGATAAATGACAGGCTGAAACACTGTGCTAATTATAAATTCATTTTCCACCTCAAGACTCCCAGCTTGATTTACAGCGAAAGCACTGTGAAGTGTTTCAAGTGGATTTTTAAAAAGCCTACAGTCTTCTAAAAGCTAAGCTGAACACTCAGATGGATAGGTATGTTAACGGGCCTCTTCGTGGGACATCCATTACCTGAAAGAAGGGGGTTGGTAAGCAGTGGGAGAGGAGATATGTCTTCAAAGGCTGATGGAATGGCCACTGATTGACACAGAGGCATTTAAGGATGAATAAAGCAGATGTTGGGCTATTACAACATGAAATGCTTTCCTAACATCCCAGAAGCAACCATTAGCAGGGATGGAGATCCTGGTGGCCTTTCAGATGTTGCGGCAGTGCAGCTAATGGCAAGGAACGTGGGAAGCTGAAGGACGGCAACATCTGGAGGGCCAAAGGCGTCATACATCAGTGTTAGTACAATATTTCCCAGCCTGGGTGCCCTTGTAATCTGTAGGCTTTAATTTCCAGAATTCTCCAGATAACACAACCCATTGTTGAGAAATCTAGGAGTTGAAATCTGCACATCTGGAAGTTGCCCAGATTGGGAGACACAGCACTGGAGGCATTTTTGATGGAAGGAAGATTGGCTCCTTGATGGATGAGCATTACCTACTGGACGAGTAGGTGGAAGCTGTGGCCAGGAGGGCCTTTGCCCAGCCCCAGTTGCAGACTCCCCTAGAACAGGATGCACTGAGAATGCTCACATGCGTCCTTGTCGCCTCTCGCTTGGACTACTGGAATTTGCTCTATGTGGGGCTGCTTAAAAGGTTCAGCTGGTGCAAAATGCAACTGCCCGTATGTTTAGCAGTCAGTGTGGAACAGGGCCATGTCACACAGCTGCCAAGAGCGTTGTGCTGGCTACCGGTGTGTTTCCAACTGCAATTCAAGGTGTTGACTATTACCTATGAAGCTCTATCAGGCTCTGAGCTGGAATTGTCTCAATCCAGACAAATC